GGGCCGCGCCCCGCGGAGCCCGGCCTGCGCGCGCAGCCCCGCCCACGCCCCGCCTACGTAATCGGACAGGCGACAGTGAGGGCCAATGAGCAGCTCCCTGAATCCGCCGCTCGGGCTCCAGAGCATTGACTCGGCCCCGCCCGGCCTGTGAGCACAGCCCCGCTCCCGCCCCGCCCGCTGACCAATGGCGAGCGCCGCCAGGCATATCGTCCGTTGATTGGAGGCGCCGGGACGCTGTGGGTAGGAGAGGCGCACAGCGGCCGCGCGGGAAGTTCGGAGCGAGTGGTGGGGTCAGGCAAGTCCCGCGGGTGCGCACGGCCATGGAGGACTACGAGCAGGAGATGCACGGCGTCGAAGACAACTTCCACAGCCAGTTCGCGGCCGAGCTTGAGGTGCTGGCCGAGTTGGAAGGTGGGTGCAGGCCTCGTCACTCATAGCTGAACAGAGTCCTGGTCCGTCCCCGGGAGTCTGCGAGGGCTTCGCGGAAGAGGGGAGGCGAGCGAAGGCCAGAGGCAGCAGCGACCTGGGGGGCGGGGGAAGCGCTGGAGAGAGAAGGGCCTTCCAGCGCCGCTGTGTGTGGAGGCCGGCTGTCTTGAGGCGGTTGCTGTGAATCTTCTCTCCCTACAGGGACAGCGGCCCTGTCACCTTCCAGGAGCCCCCGGCCCACGGTGGGCCGGATCCGGCTTACTTTCGAAGAGGCTATTGCTGGAGGGGACGTTGCTACTCCTTGCACTCCAGGTGGACCTTCAGAATACCGAAAGGGCAGTGCCAAGAAGAGGCAGCTGGCCACCAACGTCCAGAGGGACAGGCCCCTGCTCCAAAGTATGTTGCAGGAACGCTGAGCACAGGGGTAGAGTTTGAGGCATGGGAAGTGCCTTTCTTCCTTCCCAGAGTGTGTGTCTGTCCCCAGCCCCCAGGGTCAAGCGGCCCAGGCTGGAGGCGGTCAAGAGGCTGAACTTCGGCTTGGATGAGATGGAAGAGCCGCCGCTTCCTGACTTCTCTCCTCAGGACATCACCCCCCCACCGAGTCCTGAGATCCCCGCTGATCTGTGGGGCGAGAGGTGTGTGTCTTGGGGCACAGGTGTTCTAGGGAGACTTGGAAGGATCTCGATCCTTGGACAGGGCCTGGGGCTAGGGGCCTGTAGGAGGGCTTGGTTGCTGAGGATGGATCTAGGGCTCTCGCTTGAGGGTAACAGGAGGCAAGAGTCCCAAGATGGTCCTGGTCCCTTCTTAGGCCCATGGATGCTGGTGCTGACACGAGTCTTATACAGACATCACCAGCCACCCACAATCCTGTCCTGAGGCGACCCCCTATTCTGGAGGACTATATCAATGTGACCTCAACAGATGGTGATCGGGTCTTTCTGGTGCTTCGGGCTGACCCAGTGGGAACTGGGGTACAGGTGGGTGCTGTGCGGCCATAAGAGGAAGGTGGGGGTTCATGATCCTCCTGCGCGGTTAAATGGGCTTGAAGCTGCCCAGGAAAGGGTCCTGGGCATCATATCCACACTGGGACCCTGGGGAATCCCTAGGAAGTCCACCTGGCCTCCAGTCATCCACCTTGTCTCCCTCCTCCTGCCCTTCTCCCTCCCCGTCCTCCTCCTACTTCTGCTCTCTTCTAGAGCCGCTCCTTTCCTATTGGTTTTTCCCCTTGGAGTCCCTGGTTAGAGAGGGGCTTCTCCATCTCTTGGCTTGCTGATGCTAGGGAGTACCACCTGGGTCCCTGGGCACTGTTGGGAGGGGGGTCTGTGGGTAACCCTATGATCTTGGAAGGGGCCCAGAGGTGACTGTTACCCTTCCTCCACCACAGAGCCCTTTCCCGGACATCCGGTGGCGTGGCCGTGGCCAGCTGGACTTGCTAGGTGTGTCCTTCGCCTCTCTGAAGGAGCAGGTCAACAATGAGGTGAGATCTGCTGGGGTTTGCTGGGAGGGGAAGGGGTAGCTCTCAGGTGACCGTGGCTGGCTAGGCCATCTTGATCCTAATCCCTATTGCTTGCACAGCGGCGGCAACGATTGCTCGAAGAGGCACAGCAGCTCTCAGATACACTGCACAGGTGATGTAGTGGACCCTTCCGGCCCTGAGATCCTTACCGGTTCTTGGACTGCTGACCCCCAGCCTGAATTCTGGGAGGGGGTGGCCCCTGCATGGGGTTAAGGCCTAGGAGCTCAGGGCACAATGTTCTCTAGCCTCAGGTCAGAGGAGATAGAGGAAGAGGCCCAGTCCTTGGGGGCCCTTGAGGAGGAGCCAGCCAAGAGCCAAGACGACTCCCAGCACTGCCTATGGGTGGACAAGTTTGCGCCCCAGCACTACACGGAACTGCTCAGTGACGACGTGAGGCCTTGTTTTTGCTTATGTGTGACTGGCTTCCTTGTTCCCAGGAGAGGGGAATTCAGGATCCAGCCAAACCATATATTGACAGCTACGGGGCAGTTGGGATGGAGGGCAGGGCTCTGATCAGCTTTGCTGAGTTGTAGATTGGGACAGGACATTAGAGCTCAGAAAAGGAAGCCAGGACTGGAGGCCAGGTGGACTTCCTAGGGAGTCCCCAGGGTCCCAGTGTGGATATGATGCCAGCATGCTGCTGGTAACCTGTGATGTGGGCTGGGGATCCAGGGCACCCCGGCTTGGAGCCTCTGTTTCCTTTCCCGCTCTCTCAGCAGCTGATGCTCCTGGGATCATCCCTGATGATAGCGGGGACTCCTGGAGAAGTTAGGACCAGGGCTTATGGAGACAGAGGCCCCTTTGTGAGCCCCACTCTGCCACTCACTGGCAGGGTGACTGGTACCAGTCACTTGTCACAGCCTCAGCGTCCCCGTGTGTCCCCAAGCTTATAACAGCATAAGGGTCAGGCCTTGGGAATCTTTGGTGCTGGTGGTCCCCCTAGGCAATGCCTCCCTTCCTGCAGTTCACCAACCGCTGCCTCCTCAAGTGGCTAAAGCTGTGGGACCTGGTGGTGTTCGGCCGAGAGAGGCCAGCCCGGAAGCCCAGGCCCAGTGTGGAGCCGGTCCGGGTTGGCAAGGAGGCCACAGCCTCCAGCAAGTGGAAAAGCCACGAGCAGGTGTTAGAAGAGATGCTGGAGGCTGAGCTGGACCCGAGCCAGCGGCCCCGGCAGAAGGTGAGCCCCATTTGGCTGCACTGTATACTTCTCTTATCCCAGGGGTTATACTCATTGGCTGGCACGTTTGTAGCTTTTGGGGGCCATGAGGCACACACATTTACTGCCCCGAAAGCTGTGGGCATGATGATGTCAGGGTCTTGGTGTAGGATGTCAATGACACGAGTGTGACTTGAGTTGTTCTTGTGATGACTCAGGTAGAGTCAGTGTTCCTTGAAGGGCCTTGCACCTCCCGAAAGATGATTGTAGTGGACAGTAAGTGGTTTCAGGGGGTCAGTCATGTCAGTAACAGCTGCGTCCGTTGGGTTCCTCTATTACTTGATTTATGTAGGGCTTTCTCATTCTGAAGCACTGACTCTGAGCCATGAACATGCTGGTATTCTTGTTTGGTGACTGCAATGGGGTGGGGACTCATCTCCCAGTGCCAAAGCCTCACAGGCTAGGATTTTCAGCCTCTGTGATTGGGCCCAGGAACTCCCTAAAGTGGTGTAGGCGGCAGCATGTTTTCATATATCTGGGCTGTAGGTGGCGCTGCTGTGTGGACCTCCAGGGCTGGGCAAGACCACTCTGGCCCATGTGATTGCAAGGCATGCTGGGTACTGTGTGGTAGAAATGAATGCAAGGTGAGTGGAAGGGAAGGCCTAGTCACTGAGTTTCTCTTCTGTCCTGACGTGTCTGGCTGAGTCAGGGACACCAGTGGATTAGAGGTGGGGCTGGGATCCCAGGGACACTGGCTGTGGACCACACCCCTTCTCGGGTCACTGGGATTTGGGGTCTTCTTGTGTGGTATTCTTAAGGTGTAAGTGTGGCAGCACGGCCCTGGAGGACCGTCCTGCCAGGGGCACTGGCTGCTGCCCTGGCCCAGGCCACAACTGCCCCGATAGCCCCTGCCTCGCCTCATGGTTCCAGTGATGACCGCAGCCCTGAGGCCTTCCGCACGCATATCGAGGCTGCTACGCAGATGGAGTCGGTGTTGGGTGCTGGTGGGAAGCCTAATTGCCTGGTCATTGACGAAATCGATGGGGCCCCCATGGTGGGCCTCCTGGATTATTGCCTGGTGGGTGGGTGGGTGGGCCAGCAATGGGAGCTGTGGCTCATTGCACCTGATGCATGTCTCCCCAGGCTTCCATCAATGTGCTCCTCAGCATCATCGACCGCAAGGGCCCAAAGGAGGCAGAGCCTGGGGACCTGGCTGTGCCAGCGGGCAGGGGGCGGCGGCGGCGGGCAGAGGGAGGGCTCCTGATGAGGCCAGTTATCTGCATCTGTAATGACCAGTGAGTGGGGTGGAGTGGGGTCTTGGGGGTAGGGGACCGAGGGGTTCTGCTGGGCGGGGCTTCCACAGGAGGGCAAAGGTCCCCTGGGGGGACATGACCATGCCCCTCCCAGCCACCTAGTAGATTTGAGGCTGGGATTTGGCACTAAGGTCCCCCCCAGCCCCTCCATGCCCATCCCACAGGTTTGCACCCTCCCTGCGGCAGCTGAAGCAGCAGGCCTTCCTGCTCCACTTCCCACCCACACTGCCCTCCAGGCTTGTGCAGAGACTGCAGGAGGTCAGTGGGGGGGGTGGGCAGGATGGGAGTGGCACAGGGCCCAGGCTGCATGGCTGACAATGGAGTGGGGGGACATGGTCCTTGTCCTGGTCTCAATCACCCCTCCCCTCTCATCCAGTGCTGCATTCCCTCTGCTGTCCCCAGCACCCCATTTCTCTGGTTGGCCCAGGTCCTGAGAGTGAGGGTGACTGGATCACTTTAGTCTCTGGTGGTGGTTGGTCCCTAGTGGGGAGCGAGGCCAGTCAGCAGGATCCGTAGCCTTTGTCCCGCTAGTAGGATAAGAGCTGTTACCTATTTCTAGGAAAGAGGTAGCCACAGGGCAGGGGCTCTGGGGAGGTGGACACTCACACTCCTGCCTCCTGTAGATCTCTGTACGTCAAGGCCTGCAGGCCGACCCAGGTGTGCTGGCAGCCCTTTGCGAGAAAACAGACAATGACATCCGTGCCTGCATCAACACCCTGCAGGTGGGCAGGGGGCAGCTGGCTGTGGTGGGGTGGAGCAGGGAGCAGCTACCCCTCACCTCCCATACCCTGTGTCTAGTTCCTGCATGGACAGGGCCAGCGGGAGCTGAGTGTTCGGGCTGTGCAGACCACACAAGTTGGCGTCAAGGATCAGCGCAAGGGGCTCTTCTCTGTGTGGCAAGAGATCTTCCAGCTGCCTCGAGCCCAGAGGTAGGCAGGGTAGGCGAAATGAGTGGGCAGGTCATCCAGCCTTGGCTTGGATGTCTGTGGCGCCCTAGTCCTGGTCACCAGACCCTGCGTGTGCAGGCTGGACCCCGCTTGGCCAACTGAGACCCAAGGCTGCCTAGGCCCTGCCTTCAGGGCTGTGCCTCGGCCTCCCCCACTGACCCCCCGCCCCCAGGGTCACCTCAGGTTGGGAGGGCACTGCTAAGAGGAATAAAGTAGGTGGGGGCTCCACTCCAGCCTCAGTACCCCCTCTGCAGGCGACGTGTGGGCCAGGACCCTACTCTGCCCACCCACATGCTCCTGCTGGGTGACGGGCTCACGGGCTGGGGACCCCATGCTGCCGAGGCACCCTTGACCATGGCCGCACAGCGGTTCTACCACATCCTGCATGTGGCCGCCTCCACAGGCGAGCATGAAAAGATGGTTCAGGTAATCACTACCTCAAATCTTTCCAGGGTGGGGGTTGGTGGGGAGGCAGGAGGCCAGCACCTGGCCATGTCCCCTCATCCCCAGACGGTGAGTGGGAGATGATTCAGATGGTGCTAAGCTGGAGGAGAAGCAGGTGGAATGAGAGTGAGATGAGGCAGACATGGAGCATCAGGGAGACTTCCGAGGGGACTGTGAGCAGGATGGAGGGCCAGAGGAAGGGCTGGCTGGTACCAGGAGGGGAATGGCTAGCATAGGCTTTGTGGGAGATGAGGTGGGTGGTGGGGTGTTGTTCGATTGATGGGATCACTGGCTGCCAGGTGTAAATCAGTGTGAGGGGCAGTGGCAGTGGCTGGGCGGCCTGACCCAGTGGCTGGGAGAGGACGTGAGCTACAGTAATGGGGACATGTGGGTTCGAGAGCAGGTGGGGTGAGATTTTGGCCAGAGCAGGTGGCAGAGATGCCCCCCTGTCCCCCCACAAAGCCTGGCCTAAGCTGCCTCCCTAACTAAGCAGCTTTGTGTTAATGGCCAGGGATCCGTGCAAATCCGGAAATCCACAGTGCGGTGGACAGAGTGGTGGCGGGAGGGGGTGGGATTCCCGTATGGAAGGAGAGCGGAGGGCTCTGTCCTCAATTCTGGTGGACAGAACTTCCTAAAGGGAGGGGTTGGGAGTTGGGGGCTCTCTCCTGCACGTCTTGGTCAAACCAGAGTGGGGGCAGCAGGTAGGCCTTCCTGTTCTCCCCTCAGGGTCCTATGGCTACTTGCTGGTATTTGCTGCTGCCCTGAGACCCCACACTTGCCAGGGCATTTGGGTGGTGAAGGGTCCCAGTGGGTGCTTTGGGGGGTTATGAGGCTGGAGGGGCTCAGGGACCTGCTGCCCACAGGGCCTGTTTGACAACTTCCTTCGCCTGCGGCTGCGGGACTCCAGCCTTGGCACCGTGTGCGTGGCGCTTGACTGGCTAGCCTTTGAGGACTTGCTGGGCCAGGCCGCCCACCATGGCCAGAGCTTCCAGCTGCTGCGCTACCGGCCTTTCCTGCCTGCAGTTTTCCACGTGCTGTTCGCCTCCAGCCACGTGCCAAGGATCGCCTTTCCAAGTAGTCAGCAGGAGGTACGCTCTGCACCCTGCTCCTGTCCAAGCTGAGCCTAGGGTCCTGGAGGGGTGGTCCTGGCTGACCTGATCCTGGTTCACCCTCCACTCCAGGCCCAGAACCGGATAAGCCGGGTGCAGAACCTGATTCAGACACTGGTGTCAGGTATCACACCGGCCACCCGCAGCCAAACCTCGCCCCAAGCCCTTGTCCTGGACACCCTCTGCCTTCTCCTGGACATCCTTGTGCCTAAGCTGCGCCCTGTGAGTGTTTCACTCAAGTGTAGCGGGTAGCTTCTAATGGGACAGGACCCCTAGCTGTGCTTAGCGCTGCCCATCTGCCCACAGGTGAGCACACAGCTGTACAGCACCCGTGAGAAGCTGCAGCTGGGTAGCCTTGTGGGCACCATGCTTGCCTATAGCCTAACCTACCGCCAGGAGCGCACGCCCGATGGGCAGTATGTCTATAGGCTGGAACCGTGAGTTTGCACAGTACCTGGAGTGGGGGTTCCGGGAGGCTGGGCTGGAAATCTAAAAGCATGGCATTGGTGAGACTTGTGAGTCTGTTTCCCCATCTGTTAGGAGTTTGGGGGTATGTCAGTTCTAGCTCAGCTCTTTCTCGGATGTGCCTATGAGGTGGCCCCAGGGCAGGCATAGCCCCAAGACCTGAGATTTACTGCAGAGCCTCTCACTGCTCCACTGTCCAGGGGCCCTCCAGGCATAGCCCCAAGACCTGAGATTTACTGCAGAGCCTCTCACTGCTCCACTGTCCCCCAGGGGCCCTCTGAGGTGGCCCCTGGGGGACAGTGGAGCAGTGAGAGGCTCTGCAGTAAACCTCAGGTCTTGGGGCTATGCTCCCCAGCGCTCTTTCTCCATCCTGAGATGGTCCCGCTGCCCAGCAAGGGCCCTGGTGTATCTGGGATGCAGATATTCCTCTGTGCCAGTAGCAAGGAGGCAGTGGTGGTGGTTCCTGATCGTGCAGCCCAGCCTGAGCCCCAGCCCTGCCCTGTTGTCTTATTTCTCCTGCTACAGCCCTGGGGAGGTTACTTCTCATATCAATATACAGTTGGGGATACTGAGGCTCAGGGATAATTCCCTGCTGGCCTGGGGCTAGGCCATGGCAGAGCCAGAACTGGACCCCGTCCTGCAGCTTTCACATTCTAGCATTTGGAGTCAGTCTGGTGGGTTGTCCCTGCTCTGTCTCTACTGAGTGGGTGCCCGGGTGTCTTGCCCCACCCACCTTGAGAGCAGGAACGTGGAGGAGGTGTGCCGCTTTCCTGAGCTGCCTGCCCGAAAGCCCCTCACCTACCAGGCCAAGCAGCTCATTGCCCACGAGATTGAAGTGGAGAAGATGCGGCGGGCAGAGGCCTTGGCCCGGGATAGGGACAGCTCCCAGGTGAGCCCAATCTTGGCTTGGGGCAGAGCAGGACCTGGTAGGACAGTGCCCTCGGAGTGGACACTGCCCCTTGAACAGCCTTGCCCCATCAGTTCTCTTTGCACCAACTTCCTGCAGGTAGACGGGAGGCCCCCCAAGACCGAGAGTCCACAGGGGGATGCTGGGGGAAAAGGGATACAGCCGCCTACCCCACGCAGCCATGAACAGTGGCTGGAGCGCATCCTGAAGAGAGCTGCCCAGGAGGACCAGGTGCGGGGAGTGGGGTGACAAGTGGCTGTGAAGGTGGGGCAGGGTGAGGCTGGGTGACCTTGGTGTAGGAGGGTTCTAATTCCTGAGGAGTCTGCCTAAAGGTCCAGCTCCCTGCTGCTCAGCAAGATGGGAATCCACCTAGGCTCAGTTTCTCTTCTGGGAAGGAAGGTGGGCTCTGCTGGCACCTTCTGCCTTGACCATGACCCTGATGGAGCAGGTGGCTATGAGGGTGGTGAGGGACAGAGAGAATACTTGCTGAGCAGGTCAGCTTGTAATGAGGGTAGGGGGCTAGGACAGGTGTCTACTCCCCTGACGTGGGCCATTGCTCAGAGTCTCCGTGAGACCTATCGTCCCTCATGGCATGGAGTGTCCTCCATGGGTCTGTCTCCATGAGCCTGACCGGTCACTCTTTTCAGGCGGAGAGAGATTTCTTCGGCCGTGTGGTTGTCAGAAAAGCAGCAGCCCTAAGCACAGGTATGTGTGGGGGCGGGGTGCAGAAGTGGTAGAGGGAGGGGCTGGATTCGGGCAGAAGATCAACCCTATGGCCCCCACAGAGGACACAGCCCCTGAGGTGGATGCAGCTGAGCGGCGCATGGGCACTGCAGTGGGCAGAAGTGACGTCTGGTTCCGCTTCAAGGAGGGCGTATCCAATGCTGTTCGGCGCAGCCTGCATATCAGGGACCTGCTGTAGCCGGGCCACACCAGATGCCATGGGATCACATTGGACACCCCAGTCCACACTGGACTCTCTGGGGTTACGCTGGATGCCCTGGTCCACACTGGACCCCTAGATCCATGCCAGATGCCCTGAGGCCATACCAGACCCCTGGTGTCCACTCCAGACACCCTGAAATCATGACTGACACTCTGTGGTCATGCTGAATATCCCCAGATCAATACCAGATGCCCTGGCATTGCTTTCTTTTCATTAGAAAATGTATAAAAGCACAGACATCCTGGAAAGTTTTTATAAAAGTCACACCTTTACAGAGTTGTCCTCTTCACAAAGAGGCTCGAGCCTGGGGGTATGGGGTTCTCACAGGATGGAGCACTTGCCCTTCTCTACCCATGGGTTGTTCTTCATCAGGTCAGGGTTCAGGAAGGGGTCCTTGGGGATCCCATCCTCGATCCATTTGAGAAGCCTGCGGGTGGGGAGGAGAAGGTTGGAGTGAGTAGGTGGGCACCTGGCCCCCAAGAATAGGGGAGTGGTCTTGGCTTATGGAAATAAGCACAGGGCAGGGAAATGAGATGCAAATCAATGGCTGGCCATGGATAGGGTGAGGCCGAGGCTTTGGGGTCCTGGGAGCTCACTCAGGGATGGTCTTGGATGACATCTCCCTCTTGAAGGCCAGCTGGTACTTGAGGCTCTCAACTTCTTTCTTCATCTGGGGCACGTCCCACTCCTCCATGGCGTCGGGGGCTTCGGAAGTAGCCAGCCTGAGGCTAGAGGACATAGGAAGAAAGAACAGAGTCAGGGGGCTGCCCACCTGCAATAAGCCCCCAGATGTTCCATCTCTACTGGTGAGCCTCCCCACAAAAGGAGGAGCCCCATTTTTGTACACTAACCTCCAACCCACTGCCTGGAGGGGTCACCAGGGACCACATCACCGGCCCAGGCACTTGCCCAGGTCCACATGGGCAGGACCAAGGTGCAGAGCCTGGAGCTGAGGCCCTATTAATGAGGCCCCACATGCCTGCCCCCGCCATGGGGCTAATTAACTGCAGAAGGAACTTTCCACCCTTAGCTCTGCTCCCCACCAAAGCCTTACTTACCAAGGCTGGGCCTCTAGGTTGGAAAGGGATGGGGAGGTAGGACCAGCACATAACATAGGTTCTCAGGAGTTCATACCAGTTGCCCCCACCCTCCAACTGTGAGGCCCTCTTCCCACTCCTGGTTGCAGAGGTGATGCCCAGGCCATTATGTAAAGGGCGGGACCCTGCTTGCCCCCTTCAAGAGCCTCCCCCATGCTTTGCATGGGCAAAGCCCCCACTGAGGGCAAGTTAATCTGAGGCTAGGAGGATTTGGCTGCAATTTGCATCTCTGGGTGGGGGTGGGGGGTGCTGAGGCAGCACAGCAGGTCCAGGACACAGAACATCTGCAGCCTCCTGCTGCCTAGCATCTCCCCTGGAACTATTCACAAACCGCCTGGCCCAGTTTCTGCTTGTGAACCAGCCTGGCAAAGCCACAGGTTGAGACCTCTCAGGAGATCCAGCCAGTTGAGGGAACATTAGGGCAGGTGGTTACCTGCTTCCCCCACCCCAGCCTACTCTAGGGCCCCAGGAAATCTCTCGCTGTCCCCCAGCCCCTGCCCCTATCACCAAGGCTGGGAGCCAGGGGCTTACTTGACCTTGGGAGGGTGGGCAAAGGCCGAGGAGTATGATCCTGTCGGCCTCAGCCTGTGGAGGGAGCTCCTGATGGAGGGGCTCCATCCTGGGGTGGGGGGATGGGCCCTGGTCGTTGCAGCAACTAGGGAGAGTGGCCAGACTGGGAGGGATCGGTCAGCCAGCGGGGTGGTGAGAGCCCAGGGAAGCAGGGCACCTCTGAGGGGCAGCCCAAAGGGGGGTGTGCAGGGGCTGCCTTCCCAGAGACCCCACGTTCCAGCACCCCCACCCCCAGCGCGGGCTCTCACGCGGACAGCCACGTGGGGGTGCATCCCAATCCGGGGGCAGCAGTGGCCATGTCTGCAGCCCCCTCCCCGGCCGCCTGACCCTACCTGCGCGCAGCCGCCGTTGAGCCTGCCTCCAGCCCCGTGAGCCCTGCCCGCCCTGCGCCCCGCAACCCGCGCCGCCCCCGGACACGGCGCTAGGCGGGCACTGCGGGCGGCGCACTCCGCGCAGGGACGCCGCTGTCTTCCCTATCGGCTGCCCCGCCCCTACCCTCCCTGCCCGCAGAGGGGGTCCTCCCCGCAGATCGGGTTTGGGTCCTTGGGATTCGCAGGGCAGCTGCCCTTAGCCCGGAGATGGTAAGGCAGGGCGTCTTGTCTCGGGTTAGTTCTGTCCAGGTCAGCCCAATGGGACCTGGGCAAGTCTCAGAACCCTGGGTCTCAGTTCTCCGCTCAGCACAAGGGACCAGTTCATCAAACTTACCTTGGGTGGTGACCACAAGAGAGAAATGATGACAAGGGCCAAGTGATGGTGAAGTGACTGCGAGGGCGAAGTGATGGACGAGGGAGCCGGGCACAGGGGCTGACAGAGCCCAGCATGTGCCCCGCCCACTCCTGCCACCTGGGGCCAGGCCCTGGCACCGCCCCCACCCTCCACCCACTCTCTTCAGGGCTGGGTTCACCCAAGGGATTCTGCCTGACCCAGCCAGCCTCCAGGGGTGGGAGATGCAGCCAGGGACAATGTGACATCAGCTCTGGCCCTGGGCAATGAGGTCTCTTCTCATGGGGCAGTGTGGGCTCCTGGGCTGCCACTTGGTGCTGTCGCCAAAGATCCTCAGCTGGTAAATTGTACCCCAGCGCTCCAATGCCCCTCTTGGACTGGAATCAGGTCAGGTAGGAGTAGCAGGGACCCTCTGGGCCTTAGCAGTGTTCACTGACAGGCTAGTGGGTGACCGTTCTCTGAAGCTGACTCACCCACAGGTGTGAGCCTTTTTCTGCAAGGGGACCTGGGCCTTTGTGGAGTTGCTCCCTGCTTTGGCCCCTGCCCAGGCCAGAGGTAGGCAGACTAGGTAGCTGCCCCAAGGGCTCCCTGGGAAGGTTCTGCCTCTGAAGGTGGTGAGTGTCGGCTCAGAGGTGCTGAAGCCCAGGTTGGGTGGCTTTGGGGTGGAGGGGATTTCCTTTCTTGCTGCGGACCTATCACTCCTTTGTTAGACTCCTTACAGCCAAGCCCATCAAAGGCCCTGCAATGGGGCCCAGGTGGACCCTTACCCTTTCCTCCAGTCCTCAGGGCAGTTGCCATCAGGACAAGGACCGCATGATGATGCCCTGGGTATGCCCAGTGGGCCTGCTGCCCTGCTCCACTCTTGAGGGACCCAGGAATATTGGGTGATGCAGGTACCAGGCTGCATCCTGGGCAGGCCCCCAGATAGCAGGGCCAAGGTTACCCGGAGAGGCTTGAATCAGGTCTTTTTGTGCTTCTGTGGCCTCCCCTGGGCCGGGGTCCTGTGAACAGTCACTTTGCACCCTCCTGAAAGGCAGGTCAGGGTGCCCCCTGCCCCCTTAGACACCCAGGCCCTCCCTGCTGTGATTCCAAAAAGGGGTCAGTGGCACCTCATGGTACCACTGACACATGTACACAATCAGGAGGCACTTCTGAAACTGGGGCACATCAAGGAAACTAGGAATTATTTTTATTACAGATTTAGGGGATTGGGGGGCTTAGAGCCAAGGGCATCTGTGTCCTCAGGGCAAATGGATGCAGTGCTGGCCTCACGCCACCCCCTCTTAGTGGCCCCTGGGGCCTGTGCTCACCTGCCTGCCTGGCCCCTTGGGTGCTATGACTGGCTGCCTGGGGCTCTCCTGCGGCTGGGGGGCCCTACTCACACACGGTGGAATGCTCAGGGCAGGGGTCTTGTTGGCTCCCAGGACTGGCTTAAGGTTTGCACTGAGAGCTACACCCTACCACCTAGTCACGTCTTCCCCTCAGAGGGTGCATGTTGAATTAGGCATAGAGGACCAGGCTCTGGCCTGACAGCATCCCAGAGTCCCCTGGGAGAAGCCCTGGTGTGATCTGCTGGGCATGGACTCATGTGGTCAGCTCCAGGGACCTGCTTTGCAGGTGCTCTTTGAATTTTCTGTGGAATCAGAAAGCTCCATGTGGTCACAGCTGAAATCCACTAAGAACTGCTGTCAGGGCTCAGAGACTTGTACTTGAGCTCCTGGGCATTCTTAGCACAGTGTAGCCAGGCCTGGAGGCAGGAGCTGCATAGGGCAGAGGTCCTGCGCTTCCCTTGCTGCCGTGCTGAAGCAGTTTCTGGGTGCTGCCATGGAGACTCTTAGGATTCGGCAGTGGTCATTGTGCTTAGGCAGGCCTGTGTGATGGAGGCCATGACGACACTTGGTGGCTGAGTTGAAGCCCCCATTCTTCGTGAGAGTGGAGGACCCTATGACTCATCTTCCTGGGAGGCTGGATTTGTGGACTCTGAATACATCCAAGTCCAGACTCCCCTTGTACTGGAATCAAATGGGTATCAGGTAGGGCTGGAATGCTCAGAGGCCCAGGAGATGGGAGGCGGATGCTCAGGAAGCAGTGACAGCTTGTCCTCCAGCTTAGCGCCACCTCGTAGACTCCCAGAGTGGGTCCAGGGAGACCAGACGCCTTTCTGAAATTAGCTCCACTAACTGGGCTACTGGTGAGAGCCAACAGAGCTCCTTGCTGGCCTAGAAACTGCCACTCCAGGCCCCATGCCTGCTGAGGCCCCTAAGGGAGAGGGTGATGCAGGCCAGGCCTCCCAGGGAATGTGGCGAACGTGGACAGCAGGTACAAGACCTTGTGGCAGACGGAGGTCCTCTTGTGCTGCTTTCAGTGCTCAGCAAGATTCAAAATGGTGTGTGGGGTGCTCTGACCTTTGGACAGGTTTCCTGAAGAGAGCTCAGGGAGGAAGAGGAGGAAATCCTCCAACCAGACAGGACCCATAGCTTAGTGCTGTCCCCACCCATTCCTGACATGGCTCCAACCTGTAGCCTCTCACCTGGTCACTTCCGAGCCACCCTGTGCCACTCCCAGTTGCTATCAGCTCCAGCTGTATGTGGGGAGACAGTGCCACTAGGGTTCTCCAGAGAATAGGGCTCTTCTCCATATAGCAAGAGGGAAGGCAGCCCTGGGCAGAGGTGGCAAGGTTCTCCTGAGTGCCATCTCCCCCATGTCTGCAGCTGTGCTTCAGAGACTGTTGGGTAATTCAGACCCTACACATAACCCTTCTAGGGCGACTTGTCCTCAGGTGGGGAAGCCAAAAGACAAGTGGATAATACTGCAGGGGCCTGGCCTGACAGCACTGTCCCAAGGAGGGCACAGAAGCCTTCCACCTCTCCCAAAGCACACTAACAGCCCTGGTGGCCTCAGGGGGACATTCTGAGTTGTTTCCCATCCCTGAAAATAAACCTGGCAGAGGTGAATACAGGGATTGGAGAAACACCAAACAAACAAACAAACAAACAAAAAAACCCCTTTCATTTCACCTGGTTGAACAGAACTCACAAAAAACTGGACAGTTTTTATATAATCGTTTAAAGCTTGTAAATGATTTTCAAAAATAAACTTTTAGACTCAGATATGTAAAAAACACAAATGATTCCAGGGACATCACGGAAGGGTGTAGGGTGGGCGGCTCTGGTCAGCACGTCCTTTTGAGTTACAAAGTCTCAAGAAAGAGATTTTGGTTAGAGTGGTTTATCCTAACTGTTCTGCAGTCAGGCAGAAGGGTGCAGCCACAGCTCCTCTGGTGGGTTGGCTCTGTGGGAATTCCAAATGTGGCTGGGGTCACAGCACTTCTAGTGTCGGATGTAGTAAACCAACTTCCCTGAGAGCACTGACTAAAGAAAGTCACAAATTCTCTAAAATCTACACAAATCTGCTCAGCTGCAGGTGATCTGTGGTCTTGACTTATGGCCTTTTGAAGGTCTGTGGAGAAAGCAGGAAGCTGGTGACACGCTGTGGGTTACAGGTGCAGTTCACACTGTGTTACTGGCTTGCTCTGGGCGGGCAGCTTTTACAGACCCAGGCTGCTAACTGCTCCAAATATCCCACCAACTCCAACAGGACCCTCTGGCTGCAAGACCTGCTGCCGCTCCCATACAGGTGGACACTTAGTTTGAAAGGACAAAGGTCGAGTGACTTTGCTCAGGGACATGTAAGGAGCAAAGACAGGGCATCTGGGTGCCAGCCGAGCCCTGTGCTCCAGGGCTGGCAGCTCTGTCTAAAGGTGGGAGGATCCTTCGCAGTCAAGGCCCAACCTGGGGTTGGGCCTTGGGGTGTGACTGGCCACCTGTCCCATCTTATAACTAACTAGTTCTCGGGGTGAATCCTGCTGTATTGAGACTGCCACCACAAGTGGTTCATCCCTGCCAGGAGACAGGACCCCAGAGTGGGTGCCAATTACCGGCTCAGGTTTTCTGCCACCACGTGGGACAGGAAGACACCAATGGTCGACATTTCTACTTTGGAAGCTCAGGAACAGGCCCAGCACCTCACCCAGCAGCACCAGCAGCATAGTTGGGACCGAGTCTACCATCTACATAGGCACAGAATTCTAGCACGCTGCTGCCTTTGGTCTTGCTGTGCCTGCAGGCCCCATAGTATCCACTTGCGGGTCCTGGTGTCTACCCATCTGCACCCCCAAAGGCACACGTGCCATGTGGTGGGCTACCAGGGTAGCCATACATCAGACCACCAGTGTGTCCTTGCCTAGCCTGGGGCCACGGCCCTGGGCATCTGGCTGGCAGGTGCAAAAGCAGAGCTTTGCCAGAACTCTGGGCCTGCTCTGAGTGGCCACTATTTACTCTTAATGTGCAGCGGCACCCCCAGCTCTATGAGTGATTTCTGAGAACCCCACCCAGGCGTGGGGTGGCGGCACCACACAGTGTGGGTGCAGGCACGAGCGGACCTGGGGTGTGCAGAAGGCTGCAGCTGGCTGCTTTGTGGCTGAGCCCACACGCACAGTTCTCTGTGAGGTAGAGCAAGGTGGCCGGTGCAAGCACGGCCAGCTGTTTGCCATTCTGGGGGCATCTCACCCTTTACAAAAGGAAACAGGCATAGATCCACCTGCTGAGCCCCGCAGTGTGGGGGCTAGGCCTGGGGGCAGGCCCTGTGCTGCGACTGTGCACGGATGCCTTCAGCAGGGCTCGCTTCTGGCAATTCAGGTCCCATGCAATCACCCTCACTACGCTGGGTAGGACAGTGATTTCATGCATGAGGTCTTCTAGAAACAGCTTTAGTGCCTAGTTTTCCTACAAGAGCAAATGAAGGGGAAGCCCTTCAAGGAAGGCTCTGTTGGAAGCCTCCCCTCACACCCGGCCACCAGCCTTACTCCAGAGGCCAGGACGATGTCCAGCAGCACCATCAGCCAAGAAGCGCCATGAGCAGCAAGCAGAGGGTGGCAGACAGGCCTCGAGGCCCAGTTGGTGTGAGGACATGTAGTCAGGGCAGCAGCCTAGCCACTTTCTTGGGACATCAAGCCTGAGCACCCCTGAGTCGTGAGCCATGTCTGTGAAAAAGGGGGGAGTGAAAGCAAACTGTGCCACAGGGAGACTGGGTGGTGGAGCAGGAGGAGGCAGGAGAGATACCCTGCATAGACTCACCATGCTGTAGAAGAGCTCTGAGGGCAGTAATGGCCGCGTGTGCACTTTGGGCTCCTGTAGGATGCCATCAGCTGCATGCAGCACCATCTGTAATGAGGTACACCATGCATGGAAGCTGTTCAGACGAGCTGGGCCCACACCACAGGGCCGAAGCTGACAGGGCTGCTGTCATAGGGCCATGTGCAGAGACAGGTTGGTCACAGGATGGGACAGGTGGCCAGTCACATCTGAGGCTGAGCAGATGGGGGTCTGGAAAGGGTGGGGGTCCTCTACCAGGCTCTAGGGTGTGAGTAGGGGAAGCTCACAGGCAATTCCCCACCAAGGGCAGCAGAGAGTAGGGTGGGTGATGGGACAGGCTCTGGAGGAGATGGGGGTGGGTGCAGAATCCCAAGAGGGAATAGGCCAGCACAGGCACTTTGAGGCCTTATGGGGAGGCGCTTAGGAATGGAGGAGTGGCCAAGGGGCCAACTGCCACAGCCATGGCCTGAACTCCACACAGTCCACCAACCCCACGAGTGCAGGGCCTGGGTATCCCCAAGTGCAGACATGGTGTGTGCTATAACTAGACAGCGTGCCACTGTTTCAAGATGGGGCTGCTACCCAGACGGTGAGCAGAGAGGTCCAGCACCGCTGCTATAACATAGGTGCTCAGTGGGTGTGGACTCTGGAGGCCCCTGTGGTCTTCTGAGAGGACCTGTGAGCTGTGTCTGCCCAGCAACTTGGGGGTGTGTAAACGGCAGGCACTCACATCTCCGTACAGGGACAGGTTTCTGTAGGGCACCTGTAGGGCCTGCTTCATGATGACACAGTGCTTCACTTGGGCCTATGGGACAAGGAGCCGAGTTGGGCTTGGCAGGAGGGTCGGAGGGGTTCACCCTTCTCTATGGGAAGACAGGACAGACACACACATGGTCAGAAACTGGAGCGCTGCTATGAGTGGCTTCTCACTTACACCGACCACCCACTGGTCAGTGCGGTGGAGGTCATTCCCCATGAGAATGCTGCCTGTCCGAAACATCTTCAGGTAGTTCTGGAAGTGTACGGGCGGGAACCAGCAGGTGGTGCAGCAGGCCAGGCCGTTCACGGTGCCAGCAAACTGTACCCAGTGCTAGAAAGTCTCTGCACTTGTACAGGTGGAAGGATACCTTGCCGCAGAGTTCATGCATCCTAGGACAGAGGGAGGAGGGCCTCTGAGGAGGGGGCACATGTACCCCTGCACATGCCACTTGGGATTTGTTGTGACAACTGTCGTTATGTCTCAAAAGCCATGGAAACTTGAGAAAGGGATGCATGTTAGAGAGAAATCAGCAACTTTCTCATCTGATGGCATCTTCGCCCTCACAGCTTTCAAGCAGATGAACTTATTGTATCTAAACTGAGGCAGAAAGAGGAAACTCTGTCGCCATGACACACCAATGACAACCCCCCACTGGCCGAGCAGGCACATGGGATCTGAAGCACTGGGGACAGTGAGCAGGAGACCTTTTGGCAGATACCTCCCTACCCTCACCCTGAGTGGGTGCAGGCTGAAGTTTCAGACTGCAAATAAAATCTGAGGCCACACAGGCTCTAAATATGTGGGAAATCTCTAGGTGAAAACACAGCAAGTTGTTCTCAATAACATCAAAGCAAGGAAGGCGTAAGCAGGGCCCAAACCCAGAGCAGAAAGAGAAAAAACACTAAAGAGTTCTGTATCGAGAAATAAAAACAAAGACAAAATGGGAAAAGTGAATGACAATAAAGGTACAAGAAGGGATTTACTCCTTCATCTACCAAGAACTCACACAAACCAGCACAACAGAGATGAAACCCAGCAAAGTTCCCGGATGCCAGGATCCGCCTGTGTCTGAAAGCCTGAGAGTACCCTATGGTGTTTGTGGGGGGCTCAGCCACACCATGAGCACTGAACCACATGGAGCAAGTGGGCAGGAAGGGGAGAGAAGTGCTTCCCTGGAGCTTGGTACCAACTTCAGAGCTCTGAACGACAGAGTGTGTGTGTGTGTGGGGGGGACAGTTGGCCCAGCCTTACCCGAGGCCATAAGTTTTCAGGAGGGCTGGGTTATAACCAACAGCATGCAGAGCACCCAGGCAGCTCTGCAGGGCGCCGCACAAAGCCCTGCTTGGGAGATGCATGCCCACCCTGAACAGGAGGGGTTTGGCCTGCCCAGAACAGACCCTGCTTGGGGCCGGTAGGAACTGCTCGGGAGCTGGCAGTCGCTGCCCAGGGCTGGCAGGCAGCAGGACAGACAGAAGCTGCCAACCTCAAGCCTTGCCTTGGAGGAAATTTAATATCCTGTCCTATGCTTTCCAGTCAATCCACCTTAACTCTGGTGACAGTGAAAACTTCCTAGAGAAACTCCCACTTTCCATTCTTTTTCAGAAGTTCAGTAATGGTTTAGCCTTTTAAAATTGTGGTCAGCAGCCCGTGGTCCCATGGCACAATGTTCAAACTGAAAGGTGGACAGATGCAACAGGGTCATGGGTATAAGTCTTCGTCTTCCTGCTCAGGGATGGTAAGCACCTGAGAGCAGCGCCCAGGCCCCCGCCCTCAGCCCACAGGCTCGGAGAATGCAGGCAGTAGATCTACCGGAGCATCAGCCCAAAGACAGTGAAGAAGCCCACCTGCTCGCTCCCCTGGGAAATGGGCTCAAAGAGTGAGTAGAAGCCACAGCAGGGCCCACTTACGTGGTGGCATGCATGTGGAACAGATGCACAGAGCCTGTGGATGGCCCACCCCAGCCCCCAGGGTTCTGAGAAGGCCTCCCCACTCACCATTTGTGAAGCTGAAGCAGTGCAGGGAGAGGAGGACTGACTGGAAGAAGCAGGTGAGCTCCTCATGCAGGTTCTGGAAGAAGTCATGGAGCAACAGTGTCTGCTGGAGGTGTCGCATGATCTTGCGCAAGTGAGGAAGGGTTAGGGCTGGGTCCTGGTTTCTAGCAGACTACAGTGTCCACAGGAGTATACAGACCAAGAATGAGGATGAGATGAGACCCTGGTGAAGAGGAGCAGGGAGACTTGCCACCCAAGCAGCCAGGAGGTGCCCCCTCTGCTAATGAAGGTTAGGACCCACCACCTGCTGCCTCAGGAAGGACTCAGGACAGAGGGTCTCAACAGCAGCGAGCTCTCTCATGGACAACCAACTCCAGATGGCTGGGAAGCAACCATGCAAGTCTGCAAAAGCTATTCCGCCTCACATGCATCACACATGTGCACATGAACGCTCCAAACATGGCACACACATGCCTTGCACACGTGTACACATGCATGTATCACATGTGCACACACGCCTCACACACTGCACATACCACATGCACATTCACACACATGCCTTGCCAGTTGTACTTCATATGTGCACAAACACTGCACATATACCTCACACATGCCTCACATGTGTGTACTCACACCTTGCACTCACATTGAATACACATGCCTTACGTATGTGTACACACACGCTTCGCATGTGCACACACGTTTCCTTTAGCACGAGAGTATACAGTGATTCCAAGCACCCAGAGGCTGAGGGGAGTGAATGTGTATAAACCAAGGCATGAGCACTGGCTGTGGTATGAAAGGCCTGGAGGTGTCTCAGGCCAGACGGGAAATCTAGAAAGGTCCCCTGCTCAGGACCGCAGAGGGCCATCTACCTGGGAGTCTGCATTTGGCCCTTGAGGCTTGGCCTGTGGCCATAGTGCCAGCAGAAGATGCTCCTGGCACCATCTTGGATAGAGAGTAAGCCTGTCAGAGCCATCTCAGGCCCTCAGACTTACCTGTACACGAGCACAGGTACTGCCAACTTGAGAAAGTTGGGGCTTCCAGCATCCTGTAAGGCCCTGAGAAAGGACACAATGGTCAAGAGTGTGGATGTGAACATCCTGGGCACCCAGCCACTGGTCAGGGACTGCAGGGGGAGCAGTGCAGTCAGTGCTTACGAGGAAGGGTTCTCCTGCAGTGTGATCTCCTTAAGGGTGCCAACAGTATGATGGCAGACACCTTCGGGTGCTCCTGTTCTGCCTGGAGCAAATGAGAACACCAGCTCAAAAACCTCCAAGTACTTAGAGTCAAAAAGGTGCCCAATTCCTTTACATTAGATTTAACTGAAAACCTTAAGTTTACATTTACATGGTTTCCACCTTAAAGAAGATTTACTGATAAAGAAGCAAGGGTACCACTTTGGCACCCAAATTCCTGGATGTTAAATGTCAAACTGACCCGGGTTCTCAGTTGAGGTTGGCTGTCAGGACTGCTTCGAGCCCGTTCTTGATCCCCACCTATGAGGCTACAGTGGTACACACAGGAACCCTCCCCACCAGCTGGTAGAGTGACAACCACTTTCTGCTCTGGAGCTCAGGGCAGAGTCCACTTCCATGATATGCTCACAGGAGTTGATGGCCGGGCCCTTGGCAGCCCCCCACCGATTCACAGGCTCCTGGGTCTGCTGGTGGAGGGGGTAGGTCTGGCCATTCCCAGCACATTCAGGTGTGGGAGTCCTGTGGCAACTCTCCACAGAGGTAACAGGTGTACACATTGGCAAGCTCCTGCACAAACTGCAGATGCCCTCCTGAAAGGGGCAGGACAGAGCCATCTGCCAACACCTCACTGGCACCCTGTAGACACCCAGTGTCCATGCCCTGTCACTCACTCTCATGCTGCAGGTCTCTGTTGATCTCCAGGAACTGTGAGTTGAAGGTGACAAGGATGCTGGCCAGTGACAGGCTGTGCTGCTCCTTCCAATACCTGCCCTTGCTGTGGGCATTGCAGTGGCACAGAGCTGGCAGGATTTAAAACTGGCACTGGAAGGCAGATGGAGGTGAGAACTTTTGACAGAGCTCCTGCAGACCCCTGCTTTGTCACAAGAACCAAGCTCAGATGGCACTACACTTCGAGTCTGAACTTGAGCTGCTTGAGAATTTCTTCATGACCCACACAGAAGCCATTTCACGTTTTGTGAAGAATGCGTCTTGCTGGTAATACCCATTTCTTGAGGCCTCTGAGAAGGTGGGAGAACAGAGGCTGAGTCAGGCCTCCAGGGATGTGTGTATGACACCTTGATCTTAACTCTCTGGAATGGCAAGAAGGTACATTCTACATTCTTAAGTCACTCCCTCACCCCCCATGCCCGGTCTGGGGTGTTATGATGTCAGCTTCTGTACTATTGCTCCTCTGGGACAGCTATGTATCATTGCTTCTTGGATGCCACCTTTTTGTCTCTGAGGATACCACTAAGACCTTTTCTGTTGGTTTTGTGTCCTTCACGTTAGTGACTTCCCTCTAATTTCTGATTACCTGGCTGTCTGCTCTCGTTTTATCACAAGCTGACGGGACGCTCTGGTGACTGCAGAGCCCAAGTGATTGAATGGGGACCCTCAACTATTACAAAGGTCTCTTCCTAGAAAGGACTCTCATCCTCTGCCAGGGGGCAGGGGTCTCCATGGGGATCTCAGACTCCCCACCCCACCAGCCCTGCTGGGTCCAGTGTAGGGCTTCTTCCACGTGCTTAGACCCTGGTGGGTTTGAGATTGAAAAAAGGCGAGGGTCTGATGACACAGTGCCCTAACAAATGCTTTCTGTAATAGGTCGTCTCTCCTGTTTGGGCTGTCCTTGGTGGCTCCTCCAGTGTTTGTAGGAGGCCAGCCTGGTTGTTTATCATGAGGCATTTGCCATCTGGCTAGACACCAATAGGGGGAGAATGAAGCTGACCAGAATTCACACAAGAAGCAAACTCAGGCCTCTGGCGTCATTTGGACCGTATCTCAGAAGATGGTGCCCCAGACAGGTTGGCCCCTCCCTATGTTCACAGTCCTAAGGTGGGTCAGGCTTACTCCACAGGTTCACCTAAAACTAACTTGTTATGCTTGGGAGACATGATCTGAACTTCCTAACAACCTGGGTAGCAGCACCAAGATGAGTGTCAGTTCCTCTGAGAAGTGTTACCCTGATCCAAGAACCACATGCCACTGGAAATGAGCCCACTGCACAGGCAGGGCCCTCACTGCAACCTCCCCAGACTGTAGCCACAGACCCAGAGACTCTACGTTTGCTTCCAACCCACACCTACCTCGGAGGCAGGCCTGTTACAGATGTAGCCGTAGCACTGGCTGCATGTCTGTGTTCTGGTCAATGTGAAGGGCTGTCTCACTCATGGTCTGCCTGAAATATGCAGAGTTGGAGAATTAGTGGGCCACACACAAGGCCTGTCCTGCACCCCAGGTTAGTTATTCTTACAAATTTTCCTCAAGGCAGGAATTTTGATAGGAAATCCCAATGCAATAGATGTCATTAAGAGTTCTCTATTAGACAAAGCCAATGGTCCATTATCTCGAAGAATTCAGAGCCAAATGAAGGTTTCTGGCATTTTTTGTAATGGTGTTTATCATGAAGAAAGTATTAATTTAGAAGTCTACAAACATGCAACCCTAATGGAAACCACACTGAGGAGCCACAAATGGAGCTGGTATGATGACCTGTAAGATCTATAAGTCAAGAGATAGCTCAGTGAGGGAAGGCCTTTCTACCAGGTTCCAGGCCCCTCGGGCAGGTGTGGTTATGGTAGACGCAGTACAGTTTTATCTCACATTGGGCATCATACTCCCTCTCTTGCTGAAAGTCACCACGAGTCTACACTCCTCATCCACAAGCTCCTCAGATGGCCTCTCCTCAGGACCATATCAGCTGGAAAGGAGACAGTGAATGTTCCATATAGTCACACGTCTAACAGTCAAACACACCAGGGCCCTCAGGGGACACCAGGCCATGGAAAAGTCCCAGACACGGTGCTGGGTCCTCTCTCGCTTTGTCCAGGCTCTCCGCAGTTGGCCCACAGTACCCTAAGTGAGTCCTTGTAGCACTGCTTGATGAATATGCTCTGGGGTTTTCCGGGAGGTTCCTTGGAGGGCCCTCTTGCTCCTTGGACCCACTTAGCGCTTCAGCCTAGCAGAGGTGCCTGTCAGGGCCAGCTGCCGGGTGACACACAACTTCATAACCAGGGTGAAACCACAGTGGTTTGCACAGCATACCAGCAATCTCCACCAGCAGAATGGAGTTCCTGAAGCTTGTGTCCACACCTGTCTCATTGTCACTGATCCAAATCACCGACTCATTAAAGACAGTGTCGTTGCCAGGGCCCATGGCACCTGCAATCAGAGCTGCAGCACCCATTGGTGTCCAGCCAGATGGCAAATGGTAAACAACTAGGCTGGCCCACCGACCACTCTCCTACAAACACTGTGGAGGAGTAACCAAGGACAGCCCAAACGGGAGAGACGACCTATTACAGAGAGCTGTTGTCAGGGCACTGTGTCCTCAGACCCTCACTCCTTTTCAATCTCAAATACACCAGGTACAAAACTCCAGGACAAAGAACTGTGCTCTGTGCACTTTCCCCTGAGCTGGAGGACAGGAACCGGTTCCACTCAGCCAGGGCAAGGGCGGAAGCTGCTCTGTAGTTGTCAGTATCACCCTCTATAAATGTAACAATCATTCTCAGCTCAATGGCCTTACTAAAACAGGCCCAGCCAGAATATTTGGAAAAATAGAGGACGAAAGTTGGAGAAAAGTGAGGTGAACAGTCTGTGTGGTTCTGTCCGCGCTGCAGGAAGGCTGGACTAAGCACTGGGCAGTTCCGGGTGCCTATGGGGGTCGCGGTCATTGTCCTCAAAGAAAGGGCAGCCCGGCAGCTCAAATGAAAGACAACCCGACACCGCGCCCCGCTCCTCAGGATCTGCCCACCAAGGCCGGCTAGCCTTTGCCTCACCTCTCGCCTTTTGTCTGGTCTGCCCCAAGTCCCACCGTGTGCACATTCCGCCTGCGGACGCATTCCCGAGGCAGCCGTGCTGTCCGCCGGGACCAATGTCCTGTCTCCCCTGCAGCTTCCCGCCCCTGGACAGGGGCCCGCCCTTGCTCCCGCCTCCACCCCACCTAGCTGAGCCCGCGGGCCCACTAGCAGCCTCCGCCCCTGTAGTCCGCCTATTTTTCAATTGCCCTCCCACTTCCGCCTTGAGAGATCATTTCCAGGTCAAAGCCTCAATGGGAGCAAGGGGGCGGGACCTGCGCGTTACGTAGTGCGTGGCTCAGCCATGTTGGAGCCTGGTAGTCGCGTCAGCAGGAGAGGAAGCGTGGCGGGAAGAGGAGTTCGTGCTGTCACACAGGTGACTTCAGAGTATCCCTTGATCCGGCTTCCAAATGTGGAATTCCGTGGACACAGCGATTTTTCAGGCTTGTGTTAAATTTTGGCAAAGGACTTTCGAGGGTTCAGGCACTTCCATCAGTGGTGTTGGTGAGCGAGGCGGGCCACGGGATTCCGTGTAAAACAGGGCAGTGTTGGAGAAAGACGACAGAGCCGGGCGACGCCACACCCACGTCTCCCACTCATGTCCTCCCACTGAGGCCTCCTACACCTGGTCTTCTAACTCATGTCTCTCATATCTTCACACCCAAGTCTCCTCACCCAGATCTCCCCAGCCCAGGTCCCCAGCCCGTCTCTCAGGTCTCCCCACCCCACGTTGCCTCGTCGGTGGCAAAGAAGTGGACACTCTTTTGCCCTCCTAAAGGGCTGTTCTGAAAACCCGGGCGAGCTACATAATTATTGTCCACAATTTTTGAAAGGTTTGTTTCAGATACATCAGTTACTCAAATGTGCAGAACTTACATGCTGGACAGATGGGTGACAGTAGGCAAAGCTTGTCTTCCAATGTGACTTGGTCCAGGGACTTAAGGCAATGTCTCTGAGGGTCTGGTGGCTCTGAACACTGAGGAGGTGAGGCATAAGGGGAGGTTTGTGGGTGAGCGGGGAGGGACAACTTGGAGACAATAGCCGAGTTAAGCACAAGAAAGGAGCTGTGGCATTTGCACCCTGTGAAGCCTGGTCTCCCCTTGACCCACATCCCATGTTGCCCCACATCCCATGTTGCCCCACCACTGTCTGTGCCATGGTGTAGACAGTGATACAGTTCAGTCTACAGGGGACCCTGGGCAATGTCTGGAAGCATTTCTGCTCAAGACTGGGATGCTACTGGCATCTAGTGGGTGGAGGCCGGAGTGCTGCTCAACACCCACATGGCCAGGATGGCCCCATCACTGTCCTATCCTGATCAGTCCCAAGTTCCTCTGTATCCCCTCCTGTCAGTGTATACTCACACCTCCCTTCCTTCCCTCCTTGAGTCCCCGGCCTGGCCCTGGGCAGGGTCAGGGATGTGCACGTGACGAAGTCCCACCTTCTGGGAGTCCCTGTCTAACTGGGGCAGATGCTCAGAGAGCAGTTCATTGTGAATGAAAAATGTCCCCCACACTATCTGGGGGACCCTAAGCAGAGCCTCAGGGCAAGGTTTGTCGGGCTGAGTCTCAGAGGAGGGTCCCAGTAACCCTGTCAGGACAGAATTTGATTTTAGAGTTCACTTGCACTCCAAAAAAAACACTCCCTGAGACCTTTCCATCGCACCTATTTAACTCAGAAAACTGAAGCCCCAGTGAGCTGGCTTGGTGGATATTCTCCATCAGCTGGTGTCCCCCACTGCCTAGCCCTTTCCTCTAGGTGGAGCCGCAGGCCCATGCCATCGCCACCTGGGATTCCGAATGGCAGTTGGCCCAGACTCTCAAACTCTGGTCTCAAGACCCTTTAACTCTCCTACACATTTCAAGCCTCTGTTACGTGGTGACATCTAGGGATATTTGCTCTGTTAGAAATGAAAATAGAAGCCTGTTAAATTTCTACTTTTCACTTAAAACCAATAATCCACTACATGTGAAAATCACATTTTAATGACAAACAGCTACATTTTCCTGTAAAAAGTTTCGAAGCATCATTTTACATTTGTGCAGATCTCTTAAAGAAAGAGTTACATTATTTACTCTGCCTTTAATTGTTCTAGTGTTGGCCGTCATGTGGCCTTGGGAGTACTCTACACTTTCAAGAGAATGAGTGTGAAAAGACAGTTTTTAGCAGTCCTATGAAAATTGTTTTGGCTTCTTGGACCTCGTGCCCCTGAACCCACCATGAGACCCAGGTAGAGCCTTCTTACACCCTTTTTTGATGTTTTGTCCATGTCAATTTGGTGCTTTTTGATTTCTTTTGTTGAAGGCAAGGAAGGTCAGACATAAAATATTCATATACTTTTGGGGAGAAACAAGCTTGTAGAAGTTGGATTTGTAAGTAAAGTTACTCTGGGCATTAAGAAGCGGAAGTCTGGCTGAAGCCCAGATTATTTAGGATTCCCAGAAGACACTGTCTTGAGAAACCTCTGAAGGAATTGCAGGCCAATGGGGCTGCGTGGAAGCTGGTCCCCAAATCTTGCAGGAGCTCCAGGTGAGAGTACCTTGAGTATGTCTGTGTCAGGAGCTTAGCAGATCAATTGTGAGGGTCCTTTTACCTTTTGGAGTATGTGGAAAGACTGGGCTGTTATGAGTATGGGAGAATCTTACTACTTTAAAAAATAATTAGTAGATTATTTTTTTAATTTTTTTTAGAAAAGTTGTAGGTTTATAGGAAAACTGAACAAAGGATAGAGTTCCCTTATACACTCTGCCCTGCACAGCTCTCCATTGCTAACCTTTTGTACACTGTGCTACATTTGTCTCAATTAATGATCTGACACTGATAGTATGTTAACTAAAGTCAGCACTTTATCAAGATTTCCTTAGTTTTTACTCAGTGTCCTTTTTGTGTCCCAGGATCCCCATGGTATTTAGTCTTCACATCTCTGGACTTGGACCATGCCATGGCCTTGACCTTACTAAGGTATACGGGTCTGGAATTCTGTACAATGCCTCTCAGTTTCGGTTTGTTATATGTTTTTCTCAAGGTTAGGTGAGGAAATGGTGACTGCTTCTTGGATCAGGACCTTTCTGTAGATCCTTCTTCCCTCCCCTGAGATGGAGTGGGATCGGGGTGGGGGGAACTGGGGTCCTTTCTGTCCTCCTCGAGGAGAGAGGGATGAAGGGGGTGAGCGTGTGAAGGGACAGCATCCCCAGGCTGGGGCAGCATGTGGTATTGTAGAAGCAGCAACAACAAAGCATGGCTGAGGGAAATGGGGCCTGACACTCTTAAGCCTCTGGTGGGAGTGCCTAGTGAGAAGATTTGGTCAGAAGCACTTGGCGAGAGCACCTAGTGGGTGGACCTGGTGGGGAGCATCTGGGTGGGAGCATCTGGTGGGAGGATCCGAACAGTTTGAACAGCAGTGACTTCTGTTGACCCAGGAGGACCTGGTTATAGTACTGGGTGATAGGGTGACTGTGTTGTGGTTAAGGGCATCAGGATATGCCACCCCACAATATATCATTTTGGCATGATGATTATTTTGAACTGAAGGCAATTGAGAATCAACAGATGCAGAAAAAAACCTTTTTGGAGCTTCTCCTATTTGACTAAAAGCAGCAACTTCTGGGAAATAAAGTTGCTGTAAATTCCTTCTTTAGGCTTGTCTACTCCCTGAGGGGAGACTGCAGAAAAAAACCTATCTCAAGTCCATTCTCTGGAGGACTTTAATGGCCCTGAGGGAGACAGACCACCTATAGCTGTATAGACAAACATTACTACAAACTTGTCTTGTGTCTCAATCATTCTCCTAAAATCCATTTATCTTTCCCAAAGAAACCTGTTTGTTCCTCCCATAAGAACCCTTTTCTCCCCCTTCCCTCACCCCTACTTACCCCTATTAATATATATAAGCACCTAATGAAGCGATTTACTGAGTCAGCTACTTTTGTTGGCTACCATGTGCATATGAGTAAATTTCTGTTGTTTTCTGTTGTTTGTCAGTTTAATCCACAGGTTGTTGAACCTAAAAGGGTAGATGATAAGGTTTTTCTTCCTCTACAGCCTCCTTTGCTACAGAGACTCCCTAACCTGGCCAGAAAAGGGTGTGGGGTGATGGCATGGGGGGTGGAAGAAGTGGGGGCTGGGGGTAGACACCAGGACTAAGGACCTCCACACCCTCCATCTGCCTCTGCTCCCCTTATATGTGACATCATGCTTGTAGAACTCAGCAGAATGAGTGGAAAGATCAAGATTGCCCATGATCTCCTTGGCAGACAAATGATGGCTCTTCATCAGGAAAAAAACATTGTCATGTTGTGAAGGAGAGTGAGAAAAGAGGTCCTCAGTGAAGGCAAGAGGGGGCCTATGGAAAAGGGACAGGACGTGCATTTCTCTGGGGCGGGTGACTCACAGTGGTCTGGGATGGCTACAGATATTAGAAAACAATTTTTTTAGATTTTTTTTTCTTGTTTTTGGTATAAATTGGATTCAAAATGTCCTATGTAGGAAATGAAAGGGGGATTTGCTGTGTGCCACCCCGGCACCCAAACTTGTCATCTCTTTGGCACTCAGAACCATGAGTCCAGTGGCTTCATTGCCTGGGCCATCAGAAGGCATCAGGGGCTCAGCCAGCTCCAATGAACTGACATTAGGGGGAACTTGAATACAGGCAGACATTTGCACCTCTTCCTGGAAGCAACAGCCCACCCTCTGACTAGAGGGAGGTATGCTGATGTGACTTAGGAGGTTTATCATTCTGTAATGTAGATACAGAAACACATGGTTTCTGGATTTCAGGTAGCTACTTTTCTACCAGGTTGGCTTTTCAGGGAGAGACGTTTTAGAATGTAAGAGATTTAAAATGCAAAGTGCTTTAACATGGCTCTTTAGCATCTCGTGCGCTTAGAGTGCATCTGTTGAGAATTATATGGGTCCTGCTTTTGTGGAAATGAGTCCAAATTGCCTGTTTATCACAGGCAGAAAATTAAATACTGAGCCTGCTGTGCAAGGAACAGACTTGGTAGCTCAACTTTGAAACGATAGAAGGCATCTTTTGCATTTGATATTTCCCACTATTTTAAGTTTATTGGTGACATCTGATATCGCTCTGGTATTGTCTAGCTTAAGCAGTAACTTTTTTTCCCCTTGCATGAAGATGAATTTTCGTTCTTAAAATGCTCTCTAGG